GTTAGTTTTTTCCTCGAGACAGTTGCGAGGTACTCCCGAGAAAAACGGACTGCTAGAAAATTAAAGGCGTCAACAACCTCTTTCAGGTATCCCACCAGTCTTGGTGGGTGATATTCAACGGTTGACACAACAAAAGTGGGGATAAAGGATGCCAGCTGGTTTTGGATGACTTCGCGAATAAAAGGGACTTCCTGGTCTCTTAAAAAAAGAAATCGTGATACCAACTGTCTAACGAATAAGTGGGGCAGGCCCACACCCCCGTCTGCGACACTACGGAAAAGGTTTTCCCGTCGCATAGGCTCCCAAGTTGAAGTCCATATAAAAACCGCAAAGACACGGTGAAACTTTTGTATATTGCTCCTTGCACAGTGTAGAACTTGTAGCACATACCAAAGCTTGGCAATCAAAAAAACGTTGCATATAGTTGCTCTCGTAAAAATCGACAGATCTCGGTGGATCCAGCGCTTGGAGCGCTTGTCGATATCTGCTGCTACAGTTGACCAATAGGTCGTGCTGTTTCTGTGGCTCTCCAGTGGCACACCGAGGTAGTTGCATGGAGTGCAGCTCCAATGGATGTCCTCGAAAACTTCGGGCGTGCTCGCCCACGTCCCGTGCCAGAAGCCCCTGCACTTTTGCAGGTTCACCGAGGCACCCGTGGCTTTGCAGAAAGTGTGCGTCAACCGCAAGGCGTGGCTTACACTCGTTTTATCGGTGCAGAAAAACGCAACGTCATCCGCATAAGCCAAGACTTTGGTTTCAACGCTGTGCAGGATATATCCTCGGACATTTGAACTTTGGATTATGCTCTGACACAGTGGTTCGAGGTACAAAGAAAAAAGTAAGGGGGACAGCGGGCACCCTTGCCTCACAGAAGAATGGACTGGTATACTTTCCGTCACGTTATTGTTAAGCACCAAACTCGTATAGCAGTTGGTGTACGACATCTTAACGCCTTGTAATATTATCTTCCCAACGCCTACATGCGCCAGTATTTTGAAAAGGACATCATGCTGAACGCGGTCAAACGCTTTCTCTAAATCAATTTGCAACATTGCAACTTGGTCGCCTCTTCCAGACACACAATCTAACACACTTCGGGCCACGTGAATATTGCTCTGGATTGCTCTACCCCTTATCCCACATGTTTGATGTTCCCCGACTACTTCACAAATAATAGATTGCATTCTGTTTGCCAGTACTTTTGCGAATATCTTGTAGTCCACATTACACAATGTTATCGGGCGGTACCCTTTCACGCAGCGTCGTTGGTTGTTGTCCATTTCTTTTGGAATAAACACCGTGTGTGCCCGTAGAAACGAAGGCGGGAGCGCGTTTGCCTTGTAGGCCTCTTGAAAAACTTCATGCAGCACGAGACAAATCTCGTTCTTGTGCACTTTATAAAACTCAGCGATTATCCCGTCGGGTCCCGGTGTTTTTCCTTGTGGGAGAGCGTCCACAGCATTTACAATTTCTTGCACACTAATCGGTTCTTCAAGGGTTTCAGCACAGTCTTCACTCAGTCGCGGTAGTAACGTTATCAATTTTGCAAGACCCTTGGTATCGTCTGCGAATGCGGGACAGCTCAGCAGTGCTCGATAGTGATCAAGAAAGACGCGTTCGATCTCCTCCTTATCAGTGACGATTCTGTTTCTGTGCTCTATCTCTAGTATTTCCTTACTCAGTGCGTGTCTCTTTTCGTCTTCCAACGCCTTCTTTGTAGGTTGCTCTCCCAAGAGAAACTTTTCTGCCCTCGACCGCACGACCGCGCCCGCGTACCGTTCCTGATAAAGACTGTCAAGCTGAGCTTTTATGTACTCTATGTCTTTTGTTCCGTAGCCAGGATTTTTGCATTCCAGCTCGTATAAAAGATGCAAGTCACGCTGGAGTTGCTTTTCTTTTTCATGTTTGTAATAATTAAGCGTGCTTGCTCTTTCGATTGCCAATTGTTTTGCGTCTTGCTTAAAGGTTTCCCACCTCGCAAAAATGTTTTCCCCGTTTTGACCTGCTTGTCTAAGTAATTTTCGCGTTTCGGACACGAAAAACTCATCTTTAAGTAGCTGAGAATTTAACTTCCAAAGTTTCCAATTGATGCGCTTATGCTTCCTCCGTTTTTGTCCAATCGTTATCGCAACCATGCAGTGATCTGTGAATAACACAGGTTCCACAGTATAAGCATTTAAAAGTTGTATTAGTTCAATAGAACAATACAACCTGTCTAGTCGGGCATGCGACGCCCGTTGAAAGTGCGTGAACTGTATGAGTTTGGTTCCTGTTTGAAAGTTGGCTACGTCTAACAAGCCTCCCTCTTCGACTACTTCGAGCAATAGTTGTTCACTTCTATCAAGATGGGGCCTGGTCGGCGTTCGGTCATTTAAGTCGCAAACACAATTTAAGTCTCCAAGGAGTACAACTAGTCTATCACACACCAGGTATGAGCGCAAGTGATTGAAAAACTGAACTCGAGAATTCACATCGTTTGGTGCATACACACAAATCACCCGCCACTTGCATTCCTGCACCCGGAAATCACACATAACAAAGCGGCCCTGCAAGTCAACCGTCAGAGCTAGTTCGCTTAACTGAACTGACTTTTTTATAAACAAGAAACACCCTCCCGAAAGACCGGCAGCATGGCTGACACATACCTCGTATTTTCTCAAAAAAAGTGGTAAAGCGCGGTCAACCTCTTCCTCATTCTCTAGCTTTGTCTCTTGTACTGCTAAAAAGTCAATCTCCTTTTCTTCGAGTAGACGGTGTAGCTGATTCTGCTTTTTCCTCGAATGAAAACCGCGTACATTTAAGCTGGCGAAGCGGAAACCGCCCATCGCTGCTTAAGGGGGTGGGTTTTCCTGGGCTTGCCGCGCAAGCGGCTTCGACACGTTTAAGCGCTTACTTGCGTATGTGGCCCCCGGTTCCAATTTCTTTCGCTTGACGTCACTGACACCAGTTCCCAGAGCAGAGTTTGTGTCCACTCCGTTCCCTTGACCCTCGAGAAAGGGACCTGCTTGCTTGGTTTCACCTTGGTCTCGGTCGTCCAGCTCCGAAGGTGTAGCAGCACTGCCGCAGTTACTGCCTTGCTCCATGGAAGAATCATCCCCAGTCTGCGAGGACACAGGTATGGCTCCTGGGTCTTGTGGCTGGTGGTCGTTGATGGCGCCGGTCTCGCCTGGTACGGAGGGAAGACTGTTTGCAGGGCCGCCCGTGGACGCCCCCACTTCGCCGTTGGCTCCCACTACTTCGGACACGTCCATGAACTGGTCGAGATTCGATTCGGCATCCTCGTCACCGCGCCTCAGCACCGTGGCGTAGGTCGCGTAGCACTCGTTGTCTTCGTGACCAAATTTGTTGCACTTGGTACATTTTGGTGCGCGGCACTGTTTCCGGATATGGCCCACTTTTTTTGCACCGTAGGCAAAGCGGTGGTCTTCCAGGCACAATGACAAGGGATTGCACCCCATATACCTTGATCATATGGGGCAGGTCGGAAGAGCTGACGGCGTCGTGCAGCGTCATGCTGACTTCTCTGTTCATGGTTTCCAAGTGTTCCATTCCCGGGACTCGCCATTTCTCCCTAACGATGTTACGAACTTTACCGTAAGGCTCGAGAGCTTCCACCACACGTCTGTCTTCCAGATACGTTGGGAGCCAAAGTAGCCTTACCCTAATGTCCTTTGCGTTGGGATCCAGCACCAGACACTTCCGCCCCTTGACCGTGAGTTGTCCAATCCTTTTCATCTTTTCTGTGGCAGCCATGCTTGCGAGAGTGATCATCCATATGTGGCTCATTTGGAATTGTCCAATTGAAACCACGTCCGTCATGTCCACGATGTCCTTCAGTCCGTCTCGAAAATCCACAGCACGGTACGGTCTTCCCATCAGGTCCGCGTGCAAAAACACGGAATTCAGACACATTTTTCCATCTGGGAAACGGGGCAACACCACACGATACTCATCGCTACTGCTGGCTGCAGCGTCGATGCTTCCTCGGCCCGCGTGGGCCGATAACGCGCCGTTATCGGAGCGAATCATCGTCCGTCCGCTCTCGTCGAAAGCCGGAAGCGAACTCCCCTGGGAGCCACCGAGGCGGCTTACGCAAGCGTGCTGCCTGTGTGTTGTATTGGTAGATCAGGTGATTTCAACCACCTTTTGTCCTTATCGCGTTGACATGTGTTAAGATAAAATACATCAATCAATCAGTCAATTAATCAGTCAGTCAATCAATCAATCAATCAATCAAACAGTTTTTTTGCACGAAACACTGGAAATGAAGAAGCGTAGGAGCGGCGCCAGTTAATGTATTCGAAGTTCAAGGCTCCCGTTTACCGTTTTGTATGCAAACTATTTTCGATGATCTTCACCATACACAGCTTTTCTGATTGGAAACGACGAGTTGAAAATTTTTGCGCACGTGAATACACTGTCGAATCCCGTACCTCTATGACGCTAAACTGCTCCAACTATCGATGCAATGTTTATTCACTCTGCCTTAGAGTAACGATATATACCAGCAGTGCATGTGACTAATTGGCACGATAAGTCAGAAAATAATGTAATAACTGTTGATTTACTTTTTTATAACAACGTAGAAACCGCGAACGTAAATCTTTTCATAGACTTATTCTCACCGCCCTGCCTTGCGCCTGCCGCACGAACGGTCACTTTGGCGGATCCCCGAACTTCCCACGCGAGCATAAAGTGTTTCTACAATCGACTGATTTGGTAGTTAATTATGACACTCAGAAAATGTCTGATTTAAACAAAATCTTCTTATTTAGTAGTTAAAAAATAATCAATAAATTTTAGTTGATTACCAAACTTATCGCAACGATTATTCCCATGCTTTATGTCTCCCTGGCCGTGTAACTCACCTGCGTAAAACGCAGTAATGGAGCTTTCTAGATCTTTTTTTTGTTAAACGTGTAAAATTTATTTTTGGACACCTCCAATAGTAGTGTCAAAGTGTTAAACGTCACTGATTCCTCCACATTGTGTTTGCGCAGGTACTGGTTACGACGGGCTGACGCTCCACAGTGGATACCCGTTTAACGTCATGAAAGAAAGCAGTTCGAGAGACCTTTGCTCAAAATCACGACTTAGTGGTGGCTGGTGGTTTTCACCTTTTGGTTGCATCTCTTCGAATCTTAATGGGCGTAAATTCAATGGTAGTGTTCCGCAAGATAACATGGGCCATGCTATTACGTGGTACGTGAGATACGATCGGAGTTCCTCACAAATTCTCTACGAAAGTGTGGAGATGAAGGTCAGGGATGCCGATTATGAATTCTGTACGGGCAAAATGGCAAAATAAATTATTTGATACCTCATGTCTTGATCAGTACAAAAAATAACTAAATCGAGTTGAAGTGTCCATTCACAACACCTGTTGTGTTTCTCGCTTTCTTAGTTTTATACAAAATAAAAACAAATGGGTCATGTTAAATGCAACTTTTGAAACACAACATACTTCTCACCTCAATCCCGGCTCTCTCTAAGGCTCAACCCAAAATGCACTGACTATGCACCATTAAGGGGGGCTCGTTCAATGCCATATGAGATTCGAGCCAAATTTTAAAGTTTCGTATAACATGTGTTCATATAGCGACACTTGGAGTTGTCTTTGTTGTATACGTCGCTTTGGTCCACGCTGCGCTCTTTATAATTTGCGGCCTTGAACGTAGTTAAATAGCAGAATATTTGACTTAAAAAAAAAAAAATGTCTGTTGTCTTTGTTGTACAGGGAACGTGAGGAGGATGCAGTACGACCGACAACCTGTGTTTAAGTGCGGTATTAAAGCTATAGCCGTTAATGAAAAACTTCGCGGCTTCGCGCAGTAATCCGCGCTCCATATCGACGCGGGCCATTTTTGGCACTCCGCAAACATTGCACGGGCCGTTGCCTACAAGATAACAAGCAGGCAAGATAGCATGCATGATCATTCACGGTAGCCAGGTAACATGCATGGTCCCACCCCAGTCCCCACCGGAAAATCTGGCCAGTGCCAGAATCAGCACAAACAACAATTCTCGGGAGATACGCATATAAAACAGCCTTGGATTTCTACGGTGCAATCTGTGTCAGAAAGCAAGGGGAAAGCAAAGGAGTTAGTACCCGGTCAAAGCACGTGACAGATACAGAGTTTTATTTTCTATACAAATATATAGGATGACTGTATATTTGTTTCAATGAACCTTCAGTTAGAGTGCACTTCGTCTCGTCTACTTTCTTGTCCCTGTTTATTCCGCGGTTTTTGTTCAGCACATGTGACTATTTGCACCGAAGTTACACACGAAGATGCGCTCCCTTTTTAAACAGACAAATGAATTGCTCTCTAATTAATACACCCTCACTGGTTCCTAAACGCTCTGAAATTTTCTTCCGGTGTGTTTCTCGGTTTAATATGAAACACTTATGAAGAGTCTATGGTGCGTGCTTGCTCCTTTACCTCCCATTTAGTCCATCTGCTCCGAAAGGACAACTTAGCATCTGCGACGTCACGCCTCAGCTGTCCCTGGGTTTCAACTTACGGGTTGCGTAACTGTTTTAGAGAACGTTTACATAAATAACAGACGATTTTACTTAAATACGTGCGTGTTTTATGTGGAGGCGTCGCCTGGAGAAAGCAGTGCAAGTGAAAACAGGCCGCTTGCTAGAAAATCTTGACTCAAGTCTTGGCTCAAGTCTTGACTCAGGTACCTGGGGGTCTCGGCTGAGACCGTGACTGAGACCAAGACGGATCCAGCACGGTCTCCGGCGCGGTCTTAGCCAAGTCCGGACTTGAGTGTGGCACCAAGACCATAGAGTAATGTAGTAAACGTAAAGAGAGGACACAGAAGCCGATTCGCGGCCCAGATAGTGCATTTAATGCCCTCCGCTACGTGGCGCTTTTCTGTAATTCGGTTAGAACTAGTTAGAACTCTTTCCGTGAAAAGTATTCATTTTTGAAAGTGTTATGGTTTAGAATTATTTAAAGTACTTAAAACGACTAAATAGTTTTAATTTACTACGTCACAAATATCACGTGAGGAATGGCGCCTGCCACGGCCTGCCGTGTGCCTGCTTGCCTGCACGCCGTCGCCTCAGCTATGGTGTACTAGAACTGGGCAGTGTGTCGTCCGCGCCGAGAAGCAACGGAGGGAGGAGGTCGGCGCAGCGATGACGGCGCGCAAGGACGCCAGGGGGCGCTGCGGGTAACAGGCGTGCTCCTTCCCGCTCGGATTGCCGTGTGGTCGTACTGCTTGTGATCGGCGTGGTTCGCGTCGTCGCCTTGTTTTGCTGCAGTTTTTTTTTTAATAGTTGAGTGAAATGGATTGTGATCGGTGCCGTTCAGTGGGATGTAGACAACGCGTGCAGTGACGGAAAAACGGCGGGACAAGAGAGACGGGACGTGTTTTGTGTCGGGGCAGTGACTTCCCTACACCCCTCTACGGGGGTGTACTCCCCCCTTGTTTTTCCGAAAGCAACCCTTTAATCCGCAACGACTCTTATATTCTCAATGCGCCCCCCCCCCCCCCAACCCCCCTCCCTAACCTCAATTCCTGGGGCCCGTGCCGGGTTTCAACAGTGGCTACCGGTCCTGCAAAGAAGCCCGTTCCCTTTTTCGTGCCCCTCGCGAGTTCGATCGGCGTCAGTCGTCGTCCCGCAACATTAAAAGGAGTGACAGGGAGCCTCTGCTTCATGTAATGCAGGCAGTCATGACAGTCGTCGTCTACATTTTAGAGCGCAGCTCTTAGGGGCCCGTTCCCGGCTTGAGCGGCGTCGGCGTCGCCGTCGGCGTCGCCGTCGCCGTCGGCGTTGGCGTCGGCGTTGGCGTCGGCGTCGGCGTCGGCGTAACCAAGGTCATCCCAAGGTCACGTGACCCCTCCAGGTCACGTGACCCCTCCCAAGGTCATCTCAAGGTCACGTGACCCCACGTGACCCCCTGAAGGTCACGTGACCTTGGGGGTCACGTGGGGTCATCTTGGGATCACGTGACCCCCAAGGTCACGTGACCCCTCGAGGTCACATGACCCTCCCAAGGTCATCTCAAGGTCACGTGACCCCAAGATGACCCCACGTGACCCTTTGAAGGTCACGTGACCCCCAAGGTCACGTGACCCCTCTGAGGTCACGTGACCCCCGAGGTCACGTGGTCTCCCCCCCCAAGGTCACGTGACCCCTGAGGTCACGTGACCCCTCTGAGGTCACGTGACCCCTGAGGTCACGTGGGGGTCACCTTGGGGGTCACGTGACCTTGAGGTGACCCCCATGTGACACCCAAGGTCACGTGACCCCCAGATCACGCCTCCCCGAGGTCGCGTGACCCCCCTCCCCGAAGTCACGTGACACCCCCCCCCCCCCCCCCGAGGTCACGTGACCCCCCCCCCCGGTGCATATTAAAGGATGAGGGGAGGAGGAGGAGAAGGAGGAGGGGTCTACCCTCCCCTCAGTACCCTTCACTCCTCCTCCTCAAGAGCTGCGCTCCAATTCGGCGTTACAGGAATTTGTAAACGGCTTTCACTTTTTTTTTTCGGACTTTTTGCACTCTAAAGTATATGCTAAATCGGTTTTATAGACACTGGTTTGGACACACCGAAGGGTCCTGTGCACGCTGACAGCATTAGAAAGGCTTGGAGAAGTGATAGTGACGTTAAAGGTTATGGCCTCACATCAGCAAATAATTTTTTTTCCTAACAGCTTTAAAAAGATGAGGGTTAACCCAGCACTTTGTCTCTTCAATGAGGAGATGCTAAGAGGCCTCTTTTTTTTACCGCAAGAAAATTGAAGGGTCTTAAATGGCCCAGCGGAAGATACTGAGTCATTTATCCTGAAGATGTCGAGGCTCATCAAGATAATGACCACACGTTGGAGAATGTAGAGGTACAAAACACCACAGGCGCCGACTACGGGGGAGCTCGGGAGCCCCCCTCTCCGGAGCTCTTGGGAAAAGCAAGTACCGTCGCCTCCGGAATCCTTGGGTGGACCTCATTAATCTCATCAGAGCGCTGGTGGCTGGTGCCCAGTGTATAATTAAAAAATTATCTGTGCGCCCTGGTGCCCACACATATCAATATAGCTGGTGCTCAGTGGATAAATAAGAATTTATCCACTGTGGTTACTATCAGAGCTGGTGAGTGGATGCATTTTTCTAACTATTCGCACAGTCCTGTTTGAAGACCCTACGTAGTAACAGCAAATACGATAAAAGCTGGTGCTGGAAATTCCTTCGAAAGCCCGTGGAGGTAGTTGCGAGAGTCGACAGTGGCACCTCCATGCAGCCTACGGAAGTAGACGATATAATCAGTTTTGTAAGCCCCATTTTGTTTTCCCAAACGTTGAAACAATCCATTAGGGTAGTGCGCTTCAACCACGGAATTCATTGATCACAACTAACTGGGAGGCACTCACTTGATCGAATGACGTTTTAGCGAACGCCCACGTTTAACCGAATGACACTTTAGCGAAGAGTCGGACGCCGCGAAGCGGCGTTTTCGGGTGGACCAAATGAGTTCACATTTTTGTAATGAGCCGCCGCAGACTGTCGCCGGCGAAGTGGCGTAAAGTGCAGCGCGGCGGATGGGTTAACGCGCGCCCCCGTTATTCGCTAAAACGTCGATTCGCTCAAATGTCGCTGTTCGCTAAAATGTCATTCGCTCATGTGATATGGAGCCGATCACAACTACAGTGACAGCGAAATTATAGGGTCACAAAAGCACACATTTGTTTAGGTATCATGCCATCAGCATGCTTATCCTACGTTATCCAGGGGATTACACACGTTTGGGACGACTCTTACAAGAGACTTCCCGAACGTTTACCTGGGGGATGGATTTCCCGCAGAACGCAACATTGTTAGCGCGAACAAGCGATCGCCGGTTTTTCTATGAGAAACCAAAGGATCTCAGCAAAGTTCTAATTGCTGGGGGAAAAGCTCATTCGGGCCTATAATGCAGGTGCTAAAAGTTCGTCCTCACTAATACTCTTTCGAAGTAAATCCGAGAAAGCGCCAATGTCTTGTTCGCGCTAGCAGTGTCGGGATGTGTACTGTGGCGTCCTGCCCGAAGATGCACGTCTCGGGCAAAGCATTTGGCAACGAACTAGTGCGATAAATAATATGTGAAACAGCAGAAATAAAGAATACCGTAAAGAGCTAGCCAAACAATACGAAACAATCGAACTCGTGTGCAACGCCAAGCCAGCCAAGCGCTACCGCTGCCTGCGCTCCGCACTCCGGCAGCACGCCTACTACACGTTGCGCCCTCTCGCGGCCACCGATCCGGTCATCGCTGAAAGAGCCACCCCTCCGCCGGCGCTCGCTACACTGCCCAGTC